GGGCGGCACAAATTCTGCTCGCCCTGGTCCTGCGCCTGGGGGCTTTGGACCCCAGCAATCATTCGGCTCATTCAGTCAAGCTCCTCCACAACAGCAACCATCACCCTTTGCACCGCAGCCCACCGGCTTCCCCGGTCAGTTACAAGCCCAACCGACCGGTTTTCCAGGTTATCAGCAGCAGCAGAGTTTTCAGGCTCCTGCGCAACAACCTCAATTCACGGGCTATCCGCCTCAAAATCCACCGCAGCAACCGCCATTCCAACAACAACCTCCTCTGCAGGCACCGGCTTTTCAGCAGCAGCCATCCTTTCAAGCTCCTCCTCCTGCTCCTGCGCAGCAACCCCCTGCCGCTGCTCCTCTGCGTCCTCAGCAGACTTCGGCCCAGATCGCGGCCTCCTTTACTCAAGGCTCTTCTCCCAGTGCGCCTGCGCCGAAGAGGAGGGAGAGCAAGAGCTCCAATAGAATTCCGAACATTCGGTTGTCTTTTATCACTGCTACAGATCAAGCGAAATTTGAACAGCTGTTCAAGTCTGCCGCTGGAGATGGCCAGGCACTGAGTGGAGAGAAGGCTAGAGATTTGCTTTTGAGGTCAAAACTGCCGGGCAGTGCCTTGTCGCAGATATGGGTGCTGTCAGATACCACCAAATCAGGCCAGCTCCTCTTCCCGGAATTCGCTCTGGCCATGTATCTGTGCAATCTGAGATTGACTGGAAAGGAGCTCCCGGCTGTCCTTCCTGAGAAGATCAAGAACGAGGTATCAAGCATGGTCGATATCATTTCCTTTGGTGTCCCAGATGAGAAGCCTTTGCCACCAACGCGGTCGAATGTGCCCGACTTTGATACTCCGCTTAGGCAGAATGCTGTTTCGCCCCCTGCTCCCCAGCAGCCAACCCCTCAACAGCCTTCAAACCAGCAGCTTTTGACCCAACTAACTTCCCAGCCGACGGGTTTCTACAACCAGGCCACAGGGTTCCAACCCGGGCTCCAGCCGCAGGCCACCGGCTTTCCTGGGCTGTCACAAGGATTGCAGGCTCAAGCTACTGGTTTTGTGAATCCTGCCCAGCCTGCTGGTTTTGGGGGTGCTCGACCCTCGTTGCCACTAATGCCTGCGAGCGGCTTCGGTTCCAATGTTTCACCTCAACAAACAGGTCTTTTACAAACCCAGCCGACTGGCCTTCCTGGTCAATGGGGCTTCGTCAACACCCCTGCCGGCGGGTTGCCCAATATCGAGGCTCTCCAACAGCGCCTGATGCCCCAAGCTGGCCGTGAAGCCGGTGGCTACACGACGCAAGGGCTTTCCGGAACCGCAAAGATCCCTTGGGCGGTCACAAAGGACGAGAAAAGGATTTATGATCAGCTCTTTCGAGCCTGGGACGGTCTAGGCCGAGGTTTCATTGCGGGAGAGACGGCCATTGAAATCATGGGCCAGAGCGGCCTGGAGAGAACTGATCTAGAAGCCATTTGGACACTGTCCGATCCGAATAACAAGGGGCGGTTGAACATGGACGAGTTCGCCGTGGCCATGCACCTTATCTATCGAAAGCTGAATGGGTATCCGATCCCAGCTCGACTTCCCCCGGAACTCATTCCGCCATCAACAAAGAATTTCAATAGCTCTATTGACACCGTCAAGTCTCTCCTTTCCCAGGACGCAGAAGCCAGAAAATCCTCTGGCGCATTCCTGCAGCCACAAAAGACCGGCGTGAGCTATTTGAAGGACCACTCGTTCCGCAACAGCTCTGCATCGCCCAACTTCGGTCGCAAGGATGCAACAGTCTTCCGCAACAATGACGATGATATTGGGTATCGTTCAAGCGCCAGACGTCGCCTTGGACATGGGGGTAGAACCCCCTCCCCAGCTCCGTCATCGGATATGGGAGATAGTGTCTACGACGATTTGACCCCCGATCAAATCAGGAAAAAGATCCGTGAGAAGAAGATTTTGCTTGACGCTACTGACTTCCAGGATGATCGACAAGCGGATGACGACGATGTGTTGGATCGAAGAGATAGACGCGAGGCCGAAGAACTCTTCAGGCAGATCCGACGAATCCAGGATGATATTGACACGCACCCTAATGCTGGACTTGCTGGTGGTGATACAGGCGCAGAAAGGAGGGCAATGAGAAGGGAGCTACAACGATATCAGGATCGCCTACCAGCATTGGCGTCAGACGTGAGAAAGGTCGAGAGGAACATTGCTGAAGCCAAGTTACAACTTTTCCGCTTGAAGGACGCCAAAGCTCACCCGAGCAGCTCCTCAAACATTGTTGGAACCGGGCCTAATGGCACGGTCACTGAAACCGATCGCATCAAAGCACGAGCGCGGTATAGGATGCAAGCTCGAGCTGCTGAACTTGCTGGGCGCCCTCCCCCAGCTACTGATGACGAAGCTGGTGCGCAGAGACGATTGGAGGCAGAGTCTTCCATAGTCAAATCAGAACAAGAGCGGCACGAGGCCATGACTCGAGATGTTGAAGACAGCGTCAAGGACTTTGTTTCGAGCCTGGAGGATGGACTGCGAGATCAAGGAGAGAACGCGACTCAGGAACACGAGCGCAGGAGGTGGGAGGAAGCTCTGGGGGTGGAAGATCAGATCAAAGAACTCATCTATGACCTCCAGCGTAGCAGCAGGACGGCGAAGATTCGCAAAGAGGAGTAAGACCATGCAGATGTTAATGAAACACACAAAACTAACATGCGCAGGCAATCACGCCCAGCAAAGCAACCGCCTCGCGACTACTCGCACGAGGAAGCACAGTCAACGAATGGCAGCTTGGCTTCGCGACCAGCCCCAACGTCAACCACGTCCGCCACTTCCGTGACAACAGGCCAGTCGCACCATGACCGCATTGCCACTGCAAAGGAGAAAGCTCTAAAACGGGTCCAAGAGCGAATGGCGGCTGCCGGTCTCAAGCCTACTGTGGAGCCTAGTGAAAGTCCTCAGCAGCGGCAGGAACGCGAGAAGCAAGAGCGAGCCGAAAAACTCCGCAGGGCCGAGGCCGAAGATGCCAAACGCGAACAAGAACGTCAGCAGAGACTCAACAATGAGGGAGCAGTTCCTCCGAGTCCGAAAGCTGACAAGAAGCCGCCTCCCCCACCCACTCGAAAGCAGAGGCAAGATAGCACAGATTTCTCCGCGAAGAAAGCCGCCGAGGCAGCAGCCCGCGCTAAAGCGGAAGAGGAAGCGGCGGCACAGATCAGGGCCGAGCAGGAGGCAGAGGCGCGTGGACGCGAACGGTTGGAGTGAGTACCTATTTATTATCGGGAGTGGCATCCACTGACACTTGGCTAGGGCGCAAGCCAAAATGCAAGAAGACGAGCTTGAGAGGGAACGCGAGGCCGCTCAAGCCCGCTTACGTGCGCTTGAAGAACAAGTCAAGGCTGGTAAGGTCAAGAAACAGGAAGAAAAAGCTCGCAAGCGGGCAGCGGAGAAGGAGGCAAAGGAGAAGGAGGCCAAGCTCGCCGCACAAAGAGCTGAGCTTGAAGCGGCTAGAGAGAGAGAGCGGCAACTCCAGCTTCAACTGGAGCAGTTGGGAGACGACTCGTCGTCAGACGACGATGACGATGGCCCACAACAGATTACGCCTCAAGAGAGCACTCCAGCAACCAGCCAATTGCTCACTGGCTCAGTCGCTTCCCCACCATCAAGTGCTGCTCCTGTTGAACACTCTACAAGCAGTGGTTACGAGCCTACACCGGTTTCAAGCCCTCCCGCCGCTGAAGAATCGAGGAACCCATACTTCCGAAAGCTTTCCCAATCACTACCGTCTGAGAATGGAAAGCCAGTCTTTTCTCCACCGCCTATCCCACAGGCCCAAACGTTTTCACCTCCACCAGTCGCTCCTCAAGCCCCGGCACCACCGGCGGAAAGTCTACCATCGACAAATCCTTTCCATCGAATTGCTCAACAAGAGGCCGCCAAGCCATTGACTCCCAGCTTTACTGGTGCCCAGTCACGACGTCGTCCCGAGGAGGATGAATGGTCGGCAGCAGGTTCGGAAAAGGATGAAGACAGTGACGACGAAGCCGATCACCCAGGTGGCGGATCAGCAAAGCACTTGGCTTCGATTCTATTCGGCACCATGGCACCACCTAGACCATTGTCTGCTATGGACAGCAAACCCCAAACGCCTGTTCAAGAGCCACCACCTATTCCAGGTGCATTTGACTCCGCTTCCGCTCCTCCACCTCCACCGATGCCGGGGACTAATGCACCAACAGCACCGCCGCCGCCTCCTCCAATGCCAGGCTCCGATGCTTACGGTGCACCCCCGCCACCACCTCCCTTCCCCACATCGGATGCCCCGGGAGGACCGCCGCCACCACCACCAATGCCTGCGCCTGCCCGTTCCGGAACCGGCGATATTGGTGCCTTGCTTGGCGAGATTCAGAAAGGTAGAGGTTTGCGAAAGACTGAAACGAAGGACAGGAGCGCAAGCGCTGTTGCGGGGAGAGTCCTAGATTAGATGATGATTGGAAGAAGACGAGGCACGAGGAAGCAGGTAGAGAGGACCGGGAGAGGCAATCAGACACGGCAACTTGAACATGAATTGAATATTTCTGCCCTTGTATATCAGCTTCTATTGCTGTACCGAGTAGAACTAACGACCTAGTATTCCAGGCAGTTTGGACGCCCACGTCAAACCGTTGCCGGCAGGCCGAGTTCACAGCCACAACACGTGACCAAGTGTGTGGGTGTATATGGGTGGCTGCGCTAAACCGTTCTTGTGCATGTCAACAAACGACTCACTCCAACTGTTTTAACGCTCACAACAACCTTCGAGAGCGTCCACCACAATACATCAGGCGATGGCAAGGCGAACAACCCACCTTTGAACCAACCGAGGAGAAGCGACAGGTGGTTTCATTGTGAATCTTGAGGCCATACGCCCTTCTCGAAGATAAACAAGATCCCTAATATCAGGATCACAGACACGATGCCTCGCGTCGCAAGGGATTCCAGCGGGCGGCCGAGTCGGCAGGCAGTTGTTATGAATATGGCGCGTGAGAGTGTCAAGGGTTCTCCAGTGAAGTATGACCATCTCTCGCAAACATATTTATTTGGAGCGATACGAAGCCATGCGCACTACTTTGTTGGCCCGTCGAGATCGCAATTGGTGTCGAATGCCGATGCTGACCTACGATGCTCTCACAACAGATTGGCACTCAACGATGACAAAGGCGAAAAGGTTGCTCGGCTGCAATCTCGACACGCGCTCCAGGAAATCCATATGAACGAGATTCGCGCGGCGGCAAGCCCCATGCGCAAACTCAACCAAAGACGAAGAGAGTCCAGCTACAGCAACCTGTCAGATGCACCCCGAACTCCAAGAACATCGGACTATGGCTCGCAGGTACGAAGAAGAGGGGGATTGAACAACCCACAGCGTCAAATGAGCGAACACCCACGAAATAGCATAGGCCGAGTCGCCGAAGACAACGGAGTCACACCCATGAAACGCGTCCCAATCCTCGCAAACTTTGAAGAATGGATGAAAATGGCAACCGACAACAAAATCAATGCTGCAAACTCGTGGAATTTTGCTCTGATAGATTATTTCCATGATATGAGTCTATTGAAAGAAGGAGACGGAGTCAACTTTCAGAAGGCCAGCTGCACGCTAGATGGCTGCGTCAAGATCTACACGAGCAGAGTCGATAGCGTGGCAACGGAGACCGGCCGACTGTTGAGTGGTCTCGCAGACGGGGGTGCCTCTGAAGGTGGCAAAAGGCGAAACAAAGGTGATGGGGAAGAGGAGGATGACGATGAAGAAGGCGAAGAAGACGAGGATGGTGAGGATGGCGAAGGTGGTGGGAAGAAGAAATCTAAGAAGAAGCCGGCACGCAGCCACGAAGCCACACTCGCACCTGGTTTCGCATCTTTCCAAGGCAAAAAGCTCGAACTCGAGTTTGCGGTTGACCCTCTTTTTAAAAAGGCATCTGCGGATTTTGACGAAGGGGGAGCTAAGGGCTTGCTGCTGAATCATTTATCCATCGACTCTGACGGGCGCATCGTGTTTGACAGCAGCGATGATGCGGGAGATGCTGCTTTGGGAGGTGACAAGGAAAACACACCGCAAGAAACGGAGCAACAAGAGCCGAGTCACAGCACTCAGGATGAGGAGCCCGTCGCAGATGATCAAGACGAAGAAATCGACCTCGCTTCTCTAGCATCCAAGTTCTTCCCGGACATGAGCGTACTGGACTCACAGGATATCTGCCCGTCTATGAAATCGTTTGCCTTGGGCGACCCGTCTGGAGACCTGAACCTACCTTTCCTCAAAGTGCCCGAGGAATGGAAAGAACAGAAAAGAGCGCAGACACCAGCACCTGGAACAAATCTCCCCCTAAGTGTGGCCGACCAGACAGGAATCTTCCTGGACGGAAGCAATGCGATGGGTTTTGACGACGATTATGACGACGCCGACGGGCTACTCGGCGGCTTCGATGTCGCAGACAACGTGGGTTTCGGTGAAGGAGGAGAAGCCTGGGCGAAAGATGCTATTGAAGCTCAAGCCCGTGTTGCTCGTGCAGACGACGTGGATGACAACCTTCTGGAAAATGGAGGAGACGGTTACGCCCTGTCTTTACAGCATAAGTATCAGGAGGATGCAGAGCATGAGTCTATTATGGCTTATTTCGACAAAGCCTTCAACTCGCGCGCAAAAGGCAAGACGGCGTTTCTCAGCCTCGAAAACTGGCGAATGCAGAAGATCCAGAAAGCACAACAAGAAGCCAGTGGCACAAACGCGCCACCCGCCAGACAAAAGAAGGAGAAGGAGCCATATGAGATTGATTTCCTGGGCCCTATGTCAGAATTCCTGACGGAGTTACTTGAACAACCCCCTGTTTTGAATTCGCAAATCTCCCTGCCGAAATCACAGTGGCGGACAAAAGGCCGCAATCTACTGGATAAGGATGACGAGGTGGTGGACCCTAGAAAATTGATGCGCTTATGGACAAAGCCAAAGTGTCGGGTGGGTAGAATCAGAAGAAAAGAGGGCGGTGTGGGTATGGGCATTATTGACGAGGGTTTCGGAGCGAGGAATCGTGTTGGAACCACAAACGCCTTTGGTGAAGGGGCGAGTGATATGGATGATGAGGGCCGAAAAGGTGACTATGATGCGAACTTCTTCGCGGACGACGATCAGATGCTCCCCTTTGATGGCCCATTACCCATTGACGACGATGACGACGATGGGATTGATGGGGGTGGTGACGATGGCGGACAGGCTTTCATGGATGCTAGGGAGATGTTGTCGCCTCAGCCCGAGTCACAGCAGGATCAGCAGCTCAACCTCCTCGGCGAAGCCGGAGCAGACCATGATCCTTCTGGATCCCAGCAGTCACAGCAAGACCCGCAACGAGCAAGCCAACCTGACCTTCTTCCAGGCAGTTTCGGCAGCCAACTGGTGACACAAGCTGGGAGACGGATCCGACCCGAGTACGTGAACTACGCGCGAACGGCAAAGAAGGTCGATGTGAGGAGGTTAAAGGAGAATCTGTGGAAGGGTATGGAAGGGCGATTGAAGTTGATTGATGTGTTTGATCGACCCTCTGCCACAGCTGCAACTGCGCAACAGAGAGTTGACGATGGTGATGTCGATATGATGGATATCGACGACCAGCCCCAGCATAACATTCAACCCGAAACCGAGCCTCCTATATCGACGTCGGCTGACGAAGGTGTACCCAACAACGACGAAGAGGGAAGGTTGAAATTTACAGATATCATCCAGGACCTTCGCTCCTTCTACCCCGAGCCCCAAATGAAGGACATCAGCACGTCCTATTGTTTCATTTGCTTGCTACACCTGGCAAATGAAAAGGGGTTGGTGCTAGAGGGCGAAAGGGACGGGAATGACGCGATGCAGGAGATCAGAGTCACTCGGGATCCGACGGTCGGAGAGGGATATGAAGGAGAGTAATTTCCACGTTGAGCTTGGGTGGGTGAGCTTTGTCTCTTTTGCTTTGTATACTTCAAGGGCACCTTTGGGTTTTATTTGCCCGGACGTTGGACATGGAGATTCGAGCGAGGGTGGATATCCAGGATATGAGAAACACGAAATTCTTTTCGACAGCTGGGCTGCACAGTTACCCAGCCATCCTACATCTGCATATTGTTGAAGAGCCAGTTTCTCATCGCAGCTTTTGGTGTTTGGTCGATGGCCGGCCTCCTTCCTTTCTCTGCTATCTAGGAAAAGAAACATCAGTGTCTCGACCACGACGCTGCCACCGCCAATGCTTTTTGAGAGAGATGTCTCTCAGATGCCGATAGCGACAACTCTGGCAGCTTTGACAAACAAGTTCAGTTTGCTTGCTACCCCGTCGTGCAAAAAGGAATAAAAGGAGCCAGAGACAGAGACAGAAACCAGGCCGTCATCAGTGTATGTGTGTGTTTTTGTATATATATATATATAATCCCCGAACACTCGTCGCCGTAGGTCATTTCGCTGACTCATCCCTCGCCGCTTTACTCTCCCGCTAACGACTATTTAGTCGAATCGCTCCCCTGGATTGCGATGGGCTTGGTATCCCTGCCATCGTGATTGTAGAGCGGGGTACAAAGCCCTGGAGATAGCTTCTCCAGCTTCAAGGACTACCCTATCTCTGCGTTTCAACACATTCACGTCCATCATGTGGGCCCCGTATAAGAAGAGAGCATCTCCGAGAGCGTGTGATCGATGCCACAGGATTAAAGAGAGATGTCTGTTTTCCTCTCAACAATCACAAGTTTGCGACCGCTGTGCTCGACTCAACCACGATTGTAAAACAGAACGTCAAGCATTACGTCCTGGTCGTCCTTCCACTTTCAGGCCCCATAAAATATTGAACACCTTCGCGGAGACAGAAGAGACAGCGAGATTTGAAGAGGTACAAGCCCCCGAGAGCCAGGCTGAGGACGAGGGCAATGAAGAGGAGAACGATGTCCAGTCGGCCTCAGGGGATCAGGCCATGTCGGATCTCGATGACGGAGCAATGTCCGCGTGTGTCCCATTCCCTTCCGGCACGTGCTTGTTCCCTTTGACTGAGCAGATTGCTCAGTTTCCAAACATTCGCCATGCCCTTAGCGGACAGGAAACACGACTGATAGAATTCATCTTGGATCAAAACGGCTTTGTGAAGTTCTACGTCTTTGGCGCCAGCTTCCGGCCGGAGATGCAAAGGGTGCTTGCGACACAGTTCCTTTGCACGCCCGAGCTCGTAACAATGGGCTACCTCGGTATGGGTGGGACCATTGCCAATTCGATGGGACTTCTCCTAGGCCGGCACGATGACGAGACCACTTTGAAGAACACTGGACGCGCGCTCAGGACACTCCTTCGGCTAGTAGTCTCGACAGCGGAGGGCATTGCGGCTGCTCTCAACCTCGGGCTCACGCTCATAACCTTCAATCAGAGTCGTATAGGACACCACACGCTCGATATAGCTCGGGCAGCCCTTCGGCTCGTGGCACCGTGGTATCTGAATCGCCGCCTGACAGATTATGTGGAAATGGATCCCAACTTCCTCTGCACACTCTTCTCCGAAACGTTCGAATGCCTCTGTCACCGACAGATACCTACGTTCCGGTATCGTGTACCAGTTCCGGACAGGGTCGATAGGTATTACGGTATCAGTCGCTCTTTGCTCCCGGTCTTATATGATATCTGTGTCTTTTCGCATTCGTTGAAATTTCGTCGCCGTCCCAAACGACATCAGCAAGACCACAGCAGCTATACAGCAGGCCAAGATCTTGCGGAAGATGACAACGTGGAAGGCACCCGAGGAGGACCTGATGAGGAGAAGTATCAAGACGGAGACTGCGAAACCTGGGCCCATTTACTAGCAGCCGTGGACGAATTTTTGTGGACTCATAAATTGCACGAGCAATTCGAACAGTCAGCCGCGTTGTCCGCGTCGGAATTCACCTACATGGGCCTTCAAGCGTGGTGCTACCAAGCTACGGCAAGGCTGATTCTCCATCAACTCGGGCCGCCTACGGCACATAGCAAATGCCTTCGACGGGCGATTGCAGAGTCCATCCTCACGAAGGTGCAGCAGATCCGCCAGATGGAGCTGTACGGGTCACGGTATATACTGTTTGCCTATTTCATCGCCATGACTGAGATGGAGAGAAGCGAGGTAACAGACGACGACGTTCTGGGACAGATGGTTGAACTTACGAGTGGTGTGGCGAGAGCTTCATGTTACAACATGAAAGCATTTCTGGACTATTTCTGGTCAGCTCGAGGTCAGGATCCACAGGGACTATGGCTTGATCTTGTTTCCTCGGGTCCAAAGTTCTCTATAGGGCTTTAGTGCTATATATACTAATAATACTAACATCAAGGTGTTCCATTTCAATTTCTTGCGAAATCCATGTCCAAACCCCACCTCCCTTCATCCTTGAGGAGTAGGATGGCGGTCGACCACCTTCTGCCCACCACTGGATGGGCATTATCCCTCTTCCTTCTTCTTCTTCTTCTTCTTCTTCTTCTTCTTCTTCTTCTTCTTCTTCTTCTTCTTCTTCTTCTTCTTCTTCTTCTTCTTCTTCCTCTTCTCCTCCTCCTCCTCTTTCTCTCTTTCAGACAGATCGACATATATACATTTCTTTGACCAGATCTCCTCGTTTCCTTTGCGTTTTGTGACATTTCTCGTTGACCCCGACAGAATCTCTTTCAATTTCCTCTTCTTTCCTCTATTTCTCACAAGATATCGGTACTACCCTATTGCTTGGTGATGATCATCCTTTCACTGCGGCAGCAGTGTTCAGGATCGCACAATTCTACAATTCTATGGAGAGCTTTCGTAGCATCAATGCCCCATCGTCTTCTCCACATACTCGAGATATTTAGGAATGCTTCTTTTGCGCATGGCTCGGCCCCACTTGATGAAGATGAAGGTCGTAGATATCTGGGCCATGGCCGCGAAAGCTGCGACCAGGAATGCGTTACGATAGCCCATGTTCAAGACCCAAGGTGTGAGACTAAAAAGGTTCCAGAGCGCGCACAGTAAGTCAGATGGAATCAAAAAGAACAACGGACGAGTGGGGGGACTTGTACTGACCCGTACGACACGGCGAAACTCATGGTGTTCCGGATCAGAATGACAGTGATCAAGGTTTCGCCGCTGAGACGACGGTAGCAGTCGACGCAGTATGTGATAGAGATCGAGCAACCCATCGCGATCTGAGACGCAAGAAGGCCCATGGCGAAGACCAAACCAAACCAGTGTATATTTCGGTAGGCCCCGACGCCCCAGATGATGAGCGCTGTGGGGGTTAAAACGATTGAAATGGCCAGAAGCCAGAGACGATGTTCTGGTTCCATAACGCCTTTGTTTCGACGAGCCATCTTTATTACGAACCAGTCGCTGAAAGGGCCGGTGTATAATAGACTGCATTGAATTAATTTCATCATGTCAGTAATGGATCGACGATAGACCGACCATTTGTGTCTTCGATCCAGATATCTCGAGCACGTACCTCGGTAAAATTCCAAGAAGGGGAGACACATAGGACAAACCAACCATACTGGGCTTGAAGTGATATGGAGGCCCCGATAGGATGAGTGAAGAGGTTCCGTTCAGAATGTTAAACCACACAAGGATACTACCGTAGGTGAAGCCGGCAAAGGCTATGACAGGCCATGTCAAGAAGATCAGGGGGCGGGCCATCATTCCTAGCAGTTTGTTCTCTTGTTGCCATACTCCGGGCTGGAAAAACTTCAATTTGTCAAAGAACGTCTTCCGGCGGTATTGCTGCGATAGAGGCGCTGACAAGTCAATCGTCTCGTCTGTGCTTGTGACTGCCGTTGTGTCATTGACCTGCGGTTTTTTTGGATTGTCCTGGAGTTCAGCCGTGGTAGGGTCGGAGGCAGGGTCCACCGAGTTCTGGGATACCATCTCACTTGCTGTCATGACCGTCAAACGTTGATAGTTTGTCTCTTCCATGAAGAGGTAGAGGAAGATGAATGCCGCTAGGCATAGGATTCCACACCAGTACTGTCAGGCAGGTATATGATCAGCGATGAATTATCGGGCGGTGATGGGCTAGATAGTCATGTTAGGTACTTACCATGACCCATTCCCACCCTTGTCCATCGTTGATGAAGCCTGCGACGATGGGTGCAAAGAAGCTTGCTCCAGTGAGTGCAAGTGCATAAACCGCCATATATGTTCCGCGCTGGTGTGTAAAGTACTTGGGAGAGTTAAAAATTGGAACTGACGACAAATGTAGTGGCAATTCTTTTGCAAGCTCCTTCGCAAAGGGAACTTACAATGTCTGCCACACTGACTTCTCCTAGACTTTCCACTGGGCTACCAATGAACCCTTGTAAAACCTTGTTGGCGATGTATTCTCCGTTGGATTTTGTGTAAGGAGCCCAAAACATGATCCCCTACATATGAGGGTCACTAAAGGCCTGAAGATGGAAGAGCGGAGTTGACATGCTTACCACCGAGATGAGCATCGTGATCACATATACGGGGCGTTTGCCGTATTGGATGGCCAATGGCTGGAAGATCAAACACCCCCAGCCATAAGCGAGGAACATGTATCCAGTTCCAGCATTGAGATCAGCCAGTGTCAAGCCTCTTGCGTCGGCGAGGGGTTGCAAGATCGAATAGATGGCAGCGCTCGTGTAGGCGATCACGAAGGTGTAGCTGTTGCGTAATGGCCAAAAGTGTCAGAGAACAGGCTCGCCGAATGCTAAAAGACGGAAAGCTTTGAACACTTACATAGCCATACAAATTGTTGACAGCAGTTTTCGTCGCGGGCTCCAGTTCAAAGGGTCCTCAGGATCCGCCGAAGGGGCTGGATTCAATATAACGTCTTGCTTTTTACCGGAGGCATGCTTAAGCATAAGCGTCCGTTCCAGGTCGACCAGGTGAACCGTGCCAGGAATAAATTCGCGCTCAGCGTCAGCCATCTTGCACTCTTGACACCAAAGGTTATGCGGGTCGTTGGTAAATTTTCTTGATCAGCAGTAAATAATAACTGATTATGGCAAATGCTTGAACAGACGTGCGCTCAAGACGAGGTGGATTGTGCTCCCTTTAAATAGTTGGGCCAGAGTTCGCAACTGTATTCGTATTTCCATCTACCCTGACGGTTAGACGTCCGTGAACTTGTCCCCCGTAGACGACGTGATGGTCTAGTGTGAGCCACCGCTCATGTTTCCGAGGAAATGTGGTTGGCTCTACACATTGATCGAGATGTATTCCACCCGTGCCTGTCTTACAGGCGAGGCAAATGTAGTTAGATCCAATCTGGCCTTTCTGGCGGCGGCGTCTCCAATAGCAATCCGACTCGAAGAAAGATGGGCACGTAGTCGAGCCATGCCAAGGCGAAGTCGATAAGCCGGGATATTTGCGATAGAACTTACAGCAGACCGGGACAAATACAAAAGGCTGCCGATAAGCCGGAGGGAATGGGATAAACTTCCGATAAGCCGGGATAAATGTGATAAGACTACGATGGCAATATAGCCTGTCGATAAGCCGGGACAAACGTGATAAACCGGAACAAATGTTAATTAGCTTAGGCTCAAGTTTCATGACTCTGATAGGCTCATCCTGTGCCACTCGATCTGCCAATATGGAAATGGACAGTATACGCTATATTGACCCATATACGGAACTATATGTAAAAAGGAAGAACTCGCACAACCTTGACAATCATTCAGTAAGATTCACCATCTGGCCTCTCAAGCATAACGACCGACAAAAAATGACAAATTCGTGGGAAACCAAGGCTGAGATATGCCGCAAGATTCTCACGGACTCCCTGAACCAGGAATGGCTTCTTCCACAAGCACAATTACCTCCTCAGTCCACCACAAATATCATGACGTTTCCTGACACTTGTGGGAAGCTAACTGATCGCGAGACGGCCATCACCAAGTTGACAGCAGAAGGTCTAACAAAGAGAATGGGGACTGGCGAAATGACTGCTACTGAGGTAGTAATCGCCTTCCTCAAACGCGGCCACATCGTTCACCAGCTATGCAACTTTGCGACCGAGTTTTTGGTCAAAGAGGCACTTGAGCAGGCAGCAAAGCTCGACAAGCATTTCGAAGCCACGGGAAAGCTAGTTGGACCACTACATGGTGTGCCGATCTCTGTGAAGGAGCACTTTGGTTTCAAGGGCAAGGTGTGCCATTCTGCCTACGTCTGCTTCATTGACCACATTCCAAGCGAAGACGCCTTGATCTTGAGAATACTCCGCGACGCAGGCGCGGTGCTCCACGTCAGAACAAATGAGCCTCAGATTTTAATGGTACATCAAGAACTCCAGAGTGCATGTGATCCTTTGAGTGAAATGTCGGAAACTAACCGGATCTGAACAGTCTGGCGAAACCGACAATCCTATCTATGGCGTATCGGTTAATCCCTTTAATCGAAACCTCACACCCGGAGGGTCTAGTGGTGGTGAAGGCATTGCCGTCGGCACGCACTGCTCAGTGATTGGCCTAGGAACAGATATTGGAGGCTCTGTCCGTGTGCCGGCCGCGTTTTGCGGAGCGTACGGTCTGCGCACGACCGCGCTACGAAATCCCTACAAGGGGATTTTCTTCCAGCCTGACGGACAGGAAAGTATTCGATGCATCGCTGGGCCTTTGGCAAACAGCCTTGAAGACATCGACTTGTTTGAGAGCGTTGTCTTAGGCAGTGAACCATGGGACGAAGAAACCAGTTTGGTACCTCTTCCATGGAAGAATGTGGCGCCACCGAGTGTCAATGATCTCACTGTGGGTGTCATCTGGGAAGACGGGTAAGTGACGTTAAGCTTTACCATGGGGGAAATTATTATCATACCGTTTACTGAGATATCTCTGATGCTTTAGTACATGTCGACTCCACCCTCCAATGCTTCGTGCGCTCAGAACAGCTGTCTCAAAACTCCAAAATGCCGGGGTAAAGGTGGTAGATTTCGAGCCATTTGAGCATTCAATGATCGTGGATGTCGCAAAAAAACTCTTCTTCGCCGATGCCGGGCAGTCACAGAAAGAAATGCTCGCTGATGGAGGAGAGCCAATCGTGGCCCTGACACAATTTGCCTTTGATTTCGCCGTGCAAGAGCCCATGACTGTCAGAGACAACTGGGCTCTGAACGATAAGCGGGAGGGGTATCGAGAAACGTAAGTATATGGCCTCTTCGCACTGGTGCTGTATTTACAATCCTCACCGCGCAGATACCATCGTCTAATGAAAGAACGCGGGGTCGATGTCATTCTGTCGGCTGCATACCCTGGTCCTCCGGCAGAGTTGGGAACATTTCATTACTGGGCCTACACAACGGTTTGGAATCTCCTAGACCAGCCAGCAATCACATTCCCAACTGGCTTGAGTGTCGACCAAGACCTGGATAAGCCCTTTGAGAACTTCACCCCACGGTCGGACGTGGAGAAGAAGGAGTTTTACAAATGTCAGATTCACCCCTTCAGTGTTGTGCAACCAGACGGCTAATCTCCATCATACAGACACTCCTGAGAGATTCGCCGGAGCTCCACTCGCTCTCCAGCTGACAGGCAAGCATCACCAGGACGAACAATTGATTGCTGCATGCAAACTTGTTTCAAATATAATACAGAATAAATGATTTAACGACTCTACCCCGGCCACCGGGGGAGAAGCTGACTTGAGACTTTTTCTTCTGTATTGTGCTGATAATTACGTATCAAGTATAATAATAAAGTCGTTGCGACCTGACCTCCATGCGACGACGATGGAGCTCAAGGAGGGAGAAACGCGGAGCCAAGGAAGAACGAATGAAGAGGACAAGGAGCAAGGGTCCCGTAACTGGTCCAGGACAGGCGAGACTGGGTCACATCAAGACTCGAGGTTATCAGTGTAGTCAGCGTGTTCGATGAGGCTCGACCATTGATTACACTGAGTGGGATCAAGGGAGATGGCTCTATGTAACGATGATTATTTTATATCTTTACTTCCTCGTCAACTTCGCTCACGATCCTACCCCTAAGTTTCAGGATTACTCATGTTTCCCTAGTGTGTCGACGGCTATCAGGAATGCCTTACTGGAGATAGGCAGTACTCAGCGATAGATCGATTCCGTAGTTGTAAGTATCCCTTTACGTATAGTAGTGACAAGACTCGAAGCATGAGAAAAGGATGCTTCTCGGGTGCGAGGAGCATGCTTTTCTCCTTTGGTTTGTAAGTGGCTGAAAGTGGTTTAGGCTTATCCAGCTCGGTGTCTTGCCCGAGTGGCCTTTCAACCCCTTTTACTGAAAGCCGCGTAGGAGTATGCTTCTCCACTCTGAGTAGCATGCTCCTCTCGTGCGGTTCACTTCGGTTCCCTGGGCTGTTTGTGATAAGTACTCGGTAAGGGTAGTGAATCTACTCGGTTCCCCGACTCCTATCTAAAATAGATGCCTAGCCGAGAGATAAGTATAGCTAATCGTAAGGGGCTAGATTCGGCCCCGCATATACCCTACTTAGCTGAGGCCCCCTTAAGCCTAAACTAGCTTCTGAGAACGGGGCTCGGGCGCGCTCCCCCGTACTCGGCCGGGCATCCGTTACGTACCCGGGTAAAGCGGCCTCGCTCCCTTTTCTAAACGAAAATAGTAAATGGATAAAGTACAGTTCGGGGTATATATAATGCATGTATATATATATATATATACATTATATATCCCCCGAACTGTACTTTATCCATTACTATTTTCGTTCAGGAAAGGGAGCGAGGCCGCTTTACTCGCGCACGTGACGGATGCCCGACCGAGCTCGGGGGAGCGTCGCGGGAGCCACGGTAGAGTACGGGAGAGCGCGCCCGAGCCCCGTTCTTAGAAGCCTATTTAGGCTCAGGGAGGCCCTTTTAGGCCTCGGCTGAGTACACCCTAAGTAAATACACTGGGGGCCTAATCTAGCCCCTCGCGATCGGCTATACTTACCTCTCGGCTAGGCATCTGTTTCAGACAGGAGTTAGGGAACCGGGTAGATTCCCTACCCTTACTCTACTGCCTAAATTTCCTTAGAACTTTAGGTATAGCGGTGCGATAGTATACGCGGTTGAATTATATGTCGCGACGGTACTTCGCCTGCAATAACTTAATGCTACCCATTCCTTTCTCGAGACGGTGTCACTACTCGGGATTTCTCTTTTACTGACACGAACTGGGCGTTTCCGGTCCCGACCATTCGATGAATAGCGATGAATTATTTTGATGTACGTACAGCATAAGTCTAGAGATGCTCAATAAGCTTACCTTCAGTCTAGGCTTGTACGCGGCCTCTTCCTTACACTACGCCGTAAACCCGTCTTCCGTTCTATGTTCCTCCGCCGGCTTATAATGTTCTCCTCTATCTCTATTAGGGTGGAATACTTTCGCACTAGATAACTATAAAAGTCAAGATCCTCCTTCGCTTCTTGGATTGTACGAATATATCTTCTTTATAAGATACATTCCTGAAATAGGCTAACACTTTAGATTACATCTATAGTCTTATAATCATATAGAAAGCTCTTAAGGACGCTATTAGTAAGGCCGTTAAGGGTAACACCTGGAAGAAATTCACGAATCCTAGTGCGGGGCGAGGCGGAATAGCGTTCCCTAAAGGCTAGGTAGAGTAAGAGAGGGTTAGAGTCCGGTAGGACTACGATAGGGAAGTTATAAAAGCGGATAAGGTATACTATAAGTTCTAGATGTAGCTAAGTACTAGGAAGGTCCCATCGTCTATCAAAAGGTAAGGGAAAACTATAGTAGTACCTACGCTACGATGGCTAGTACTTTTATGAAGAAGGATGGTATAAAGGCCGATGTCGAGAAAGGGTTAAATGAGGCTGCGAAAGCGGTTAGATAAGCTGCGAATGAGGATGAAAGAATGAAATACTTGAAGGGGAACGTCGGATAAGTACATAGGTCCGCAAAGAAATGAAACTTTAATTCTAAAATATACTAGTCTTTAGGAAGTAACGTTATCCTCTTCTTACCGATAAGTTCGAGAATCTTAACTCAGCTTTCTCATATCTACGAGGTCGGGCCGGGACCGTACCGCTGAGCTTTATCCTTATCCACTGTATTAATAATCTTCGCCTGTTCATCGTAGAACTACGCCATAAATATATCTTTAGCTGAGAGACCGGTAGGGTAGTGCGTCGTCTAGTATACCGTAATAGATCCTATTTTCTAGAAGTACATTAACCTTAAAGAAGACGTAGAAGAGGAACTCTAAGATCTACCGAATTTATTTCTAGATGATGGTTTTTAGACTTACTTCTTACTCTAACGGTTTAGTGAAAATCCTATAAGTATTAACGTAGTTATAGTAGTTAGTTAGGTATCCTACTAAAACCTTAGTATAAGTCTTAAAATGATACGTCTTCTTTATACCTCTCTACTCCTCATCTAACTCCTATCCGTCATAGATTAAACCCTTTAACTCCGCCGTTACCTTAGCTTAGTCTTCCCCTTCAGAAACTTTCGGTTTTATAATTAAATCGTTCGACATCCGTTACGATGCGAATTTCGTAATTCTAGGCTGTAATCGAGACTGGATTAATACGTATAGACGGAGTAACTAAGGAACCCGCGTAAACATAATATCAGGGATGAAAGGTTGCGCATGAAGTAATGAGATAGAATTCGCGGAGTAGGCGCAGCTACGGCCCGTCGATTATTTACGTGACCGTTAGAGTAGATAGAGATGACGTTAAACTTACCGTAGACTTCTTGGAAATTTAACTTTTAGGCTACCTATTACTAACGCTCTTTCATCTCGCTCCCTATACTATACTATTCTACAGTTATAGTGTAACTTTTACTTAATGAGTTCAAAAATTCCGACTATTAATTTTAGTCACTTTCTTATAGGATCTATATAGGATCGTTAGTACACTACCTATGAAGTTAATAATGCGCTGAAATCTATTAGCTTCTTCTATCTTATAGGCTACGGGTTTGATCAGGATAAGATTAATATATGTTTTAAGATGGTAAGCTAGTCGTTTAAATAGGGACCCTATTTAAACTAATTATTCGAGGTATAGACTAGATAAATCTTTAATCTCCTATACTATACGAAGGAAACTCTTTCCGCAACGCTACGGTCATTTAACTAAGGATATTATAGAATTGGAAATGAGAAGATTCGTAGTTAGAAATGTATAAAAGAGAGCTTTGATTTTCGTAATCCTAAGGACGATACGGTGGGATTTTAGCTAAATGAAGAGTAATTACCTAGATTTCGGGATTTTACTGTAGAGTTCTATTAGGTCTATATATGTAACTGAAAGTACTTTCCTAGTTCTCTAACGATAAGCTAGCTCTATTCCGAACTTATGGATAAATTACTGGAATGCCTATTAGTCGCGCTTGATCTAGGTAACGAGAGTTCCCTTAACCGGTACTATATAGGGTCTATACATATATTAAGTCTAATCCACTACCCTACTGTATCTATATAGCGTCTACGATTTAGTGAAGTTATTCGAAATGTAGCGCACTCCGACTTAGGTACCTTAACACTACTTTTCCAACATAACGTTAGTAGTCTCGAGATTACCGATATAGGCTCTACAGACAAGATAATAATAACTGCCGTCGAAAAAGATGCGAATTTCATACCGATTATTCCGAAACCTAGGGTAATCGTAGTTAATGCTAGTTACCTACTAATGCGATGGATAAATGGGCGGTAGAAGAACGCTGTTTACCGAGTAGTGGTACCTACGAATTTTATCGGCGACTGGAGCTCTTATAAGAGAGTTAACTCTGATGAAATAACTCCTAAGAGATATAGTATCGCCTTTTTCGGCTTTCCTAATGCGGCTATAATTATTAAGCCTCTTTAATCCTACTATAGTGCCGAGATGCCGAAGCGATGGGGTCCGATAAATGCGGGCGAGTATCTTCTCAAGAAAAGGGCAGCCTTATATTCTTAAAATGTGCGCCTCTGATATCCCTTCGAAGGAGTAGGCTGATTAGTTAGTCTTTAGAGAGTCGCTAAAGTAAGTTAAATCCTAGACATCGCTAGTTAACGTGGAGAATGTCGCCGGTGACTGTACTAGCCTTCATACTTTAGAGGCTTGATCGGGAACACTAATGATAAGAAATTAGTATCTAAACGATATTAATTAAGCTAAATAAAGCCATCCTCTCATTTATCTACGCGGTCCTCCTTAAAGGTTAGCTCGGATGTAAAGTTTCCGGCGACTAGAAAATGAGGAGAAATCGAAGAGGTATAAGTATAAGTGAACGGTAGTGTAGAGCCCCTAAGTTAACGTACAGTATATAAACCCTTTTATCGCCTATACCCGACTCGCACGGATAGAGTATCGGATAAGAACCTATACACTAGGGGAATTAGAGGGTGATCTACCATTCTATTATCGACTATCTAGTAAAGTTAGGATTCTCCGTCAGCTAGGGGGATGCGATCCTATCGTCTTTTTTAATGACACGGCGTATCCTAGAGCGTTATATCCAGTCGTTTTTCTAACCGCTTATTAA